GAGAAAGAATTCCAAAAGGAGGCTTAGGCCAAATGAAAGAAGACAGTTAAAGTCTTTATTGGGGAGATGTTGTCCAGTGAGGTCTGGTACAGAGTCATTAGACAGTTTTTGTGGTTTGAGTTGTCCTATAAGGTATACGTGAATGAGATTAGGTGGGTAATGGTGTAGTAGTACTGATCTTAATTTCTTCATTTGGAATTTAAGGAGAACAAACTCTTGCAATTATCTCCTCAGGATGGAGTCAGTTCAGTGGATTCTGGGATGCTTGCCACCACTTACTATGGGATGGTGAGCAGGCGCTGTGTAGCAACATCCTTGCGTTCTGATGAAAGCTTTATTTCCTGTTTGGGGAGGCCCACTCTCTATCCTAAGTGGTGCTTCTTCTGTGCCTGCCCCAGGAACTAATTCAAATCAATTTTGAAGACAGCATCTAATTACTAAGGGAAGGTTAGCAACTGCCTGATGTTAATGGATAGCCAAGCTTAAGACAAATAAAGGACTATAAACCAACGGTAGCTGTTCTGTTTACATCAGAGCACAAGGGAGCAGATAAAGCAGGCTGGAGGATTTGTAATGTGATGGGAGGATGAGGATGTTTAAGTCTCAATCTCTCAATTCTTTTTAGAGCAGGAGGATCCCTCTTCTGAGTAATTGTTCAAGAAAACCCTTTTGAATATGTTTCTTCTCCTCTCCTCCTAGCAAGTTCTCATCAGCCTTTAATATTTAAAGAAAGAATCCTTGCATTGTTTTCCTGCATCATTGCAGCTAAAGTAATTTCTAGCATTTATTGCCATACTTCTTTATTTAGATATCTGTCATTCTTTGCCTCTTGACAAATGTTTTCTAACTTCGTAGTGTCATGTATTTATGTCTTGGCTGCCTGACTAAATTGCACTTTCTTACAGGAATATTGGATATTTCAGATATCTGTTTGACAGTTGCATGTCATTTGCAGTGATTGAATATGGAACAGACACTCTGTCTCAATCATAGCATACTCATGCACTTTTCTTTATCCAGTTCAAAAGTTTTTATTGGTTCCTTAATCTGTCCATAGCTTTAAAAATAATGTTCTTAGGGGTCAAGTTACACAGCCCTAGCCCCAGATTTTATTCTTTGCCCTCCTGTCTTCCTTTTAGAATCCTACCATATAATCATTGCTCCTCAATAATTTAAAGAGGTCCCTGACTACAGATCTTCTTAGTGCAATACATCTCTTGATCTTCTGACTGCTGGTACCAAATGATTGTGGATCCAAGCATGATGAAGTTGTTGACAGTTTCAATCTTTTCTCCATCTGTCATGATGTTGCCTATCAGTCCAGTGGCAAGGATTTGGGGGATTTTTACTTTGAGATGCAATACATGATGTCAATTTGAGGACTAAGGTACGCCTGATTCAAGCCATGGTTTTTCAGTCACTTAAAATGCATCTGAGTGCTAGACAATGAATAAGGATGAGAGAAGAAGAATTGAGGTCTCTAAACTCTGGTGTTGGGGAAGAGTACTGAATATTTCATGTACTGCCAAAAGAACAAACAGATACGTCTTGGAGAAGGTGCAGCTAGAGGGTTCCTTGGAGACGTAGATGATAAAGCTTCATCTCACATATTTGGGGCATTTTGTTAGGAGAGGTTGTTCCTTGGAGAGGGATATCATGCTTAGAAACATAGAGGGACGATGAAAGAGATAATTGATACAATGGCTGTACCATTGGCACCTTGAGTGTGTCAGAGATTGTGAGGACAGCACAGGATAGGACACAACAGCACTTAACGCAACTACAACAGTACAGAAGAGAGTTGGGATATATGTGCTTTTTAAAACTTAAAAAACAAAACAAAAAAAATTTTAAAAAAACTTAAAAAACAACAACCAAAAAACAAACGAACAAACCCAAACCCAAAAGAATCTGATCACTAAAACCAGATTAAATGTGTTTCAGCAATTTTGCTGTTTTTAGTGGCTATTGACTTGGTACCAATTTTTGCTCAATGTGATTTACAGCTTCTGAAAACCCACTGAGGGTCAGGCATGAGTTGGTTCCTACTTAACAGCACATAACACCACCACCACCACCTATGCACAGTGGGGAGAAACCATCGCGATCCACAGATTTTTTCTTGGCTAATTTTTCAAAAGTGATTGCCAAACCTTTCTTCCGAATCTATCTGAAGCAAACTTGTGTCTCTTGTATGGAAGGTGAGAATTTTACTCCTGAGCCATCACTGTCCCTAGGTACAATTGACCAGATCCCCAAACTCATTGCCACCAGGTTAATTTGATTCTAATTTGTAAGTACTGTAGTTAAAAGTGTGCAACAGTTCATCAATAAGGCTGCTGTTTGAACTCACCACCTGCCCTAAAAGACAAAGATGAAGCCATCTACTTCTGTAAACATTTATAGCCCTGGACACTGTATGGGCAGTTCTACTCTGCCTGAAAGGTCACTGTGATATGTAATTTGTGGTTATTGTTATTAGGTACCATCAACCCACGAACAACAGCCCTATCCTGTGGCATCCTCATAACTCTAACACACTTGAGTCCATTGCTGCAGTTATCATGTTAGTCCATCACATTAAGGGTCTTCCTCTCTTTTGCTTACCACCCCCCACCTTTCCAAGCATGTTTTCTCTTTCTAAGGAATATCCTCTCCAAGCAGCATGTCCAAAGTATGAGTGACAGAGCTTCACTACCCTTGCCTTTAAGGAACACTCTGGCTGCACTTTTCCCAAGACATATCTATTTGTTCTTTTGGCATTCCATGGAGTATTCCATACACTTCTCCACTCAAAAGCATCAATTCTTCTTCTGTCATCCTTATTCACTGTCTTACTCTCAGGTGTATAGCACGTGATTGAAAAGACCATGGCCCAAATCAGGTGCACCTTAGTCTTCAAACTGACATCACTGCTCTTCAGTATTTATCATTTAGAAGCTCATTACCTGAGAATTCCTTAAAACCAAATAATCACAGACTGTGTTAAGAATTGACAGCTACATAAACTTCCACTTCTTATCCATGAAACCAAACGTAACTCGTTGCCATCAAGTTGCTTCCTACTTATAGCAAGCCTCCAGCAGGATTCTGAGGCTGTAACTCTTTATGGGCGATAACCCATGAACCACTGACCTTTCAACTTATGTCCATTAGGATGGCTAGAATCAGAAAGGGTAATAATAAATGTAGGTGAAGCTGGGGAGGAACTGGAACACCATATCCGCCCTTCACTGGAAACAGTTTGAAAGTCAGGAGCTGGTTTTACCGAAGCTTGTTGGCTGGGATTGGTGAGCATTAGGGTGGAATGCAGATTTGCTAAGGGGAGTGAGGCCTCCTATTTAAAAACCCATTAGGGCCCTCAGGCCTGATTTAATTTTTTTTCCCCAAACATTCTTCTAAGTGGTATAGCACTGGTCTGTACATTGCTGTACCGAGGTAACTAACTCAGGGTTGCTATGAAGCTAACCACTGTGACACTGATGTGCTAAATAGGATAATGGTTATCCAAGGTGGACTTACTGATTAAAACAAGCTTGAAAGCAGGAGTGGCATCCACTTCCAAAATGGCTTGCTTCTGGAAAAATCTATTAACATGGAGAAACAGTCAAAGTTATAAAAGTGTTCAGGCCTTTCGTTCATAGGGTCACTACGAGTCATCTACGACTTGATGGTACTTAACAACAACAACAACATTCACCTTCCACAGCCTGATAGTTTGTTAATCTACTTAGTAAATATACTCCTAAATACACCTACTCATTTGTAGATGATCTCATCACCTGATACATCTAATTCATAATAGAGGGAAAACTACTAGCCAACTGTTTTTTGCATTAATGATGTACAATTAATCTGGAAGAAATGGATGGTAAGTATTATGTGAGAGTAAGTGCGGCTGTGATGATGATTAAGATTATATGGCAACTTAGCTGGGCTATGATTCTTCCTTGTTTTACATTTACGTAAAGACATAACTGGGCATTTATGAAATGATGTTGTCATCTTCCATTTTCCTTAACACTGATTTCCTATAATGACCTGGACTTTGAAACCTACTGAGTATTGCTTCGAGTGGAATCAAACTTATAGCTGACTCTCACACAGAGGAGAATGTCCGTTCATCTTTTTCTCTTGGAGCAGCTATGGGATTCAAACTTCCTGTCTTTGGGCAGCACAAGCCCTCACCAATAAGTCACTGGTGATCTTTAAATGTTTATCATTCAAATAGCCAAAAGGTGGAAACATACATTAAGTTCATGACCTAATAAACACATCCAGAAAATGGACTATTATTCAGAGATTAAAAAGGAAAAAGGTACTGATTTGTTCAACCACACAGTTCCTTGAAAGAGTGTTCTAAATGAAAGAAGAAAGGCATGCAATTTAAAAAAAATTTCTTATTCTATTTATATGAAGTGTACACATCTTTAGCTTAGGACATTTGAAGGGAGGAGGATTGGGGAGAGAGACATGGAGTGATAGCTGGTTTCTTTTTGAAATGCTCAAATTGTTCTAAAATTGTTTCTGGCGGTTTCAGCAAGTATCTGTGAAGATACTAAAAACCAGTAAGCTCTAAAGTGTGAATGGGTGACTTGTGTGGTAAGTGAATCATATCTCACTAAAGTTGTTATTGAGCGATATAAAATCAGATACTAATTATACCAACAACTCAAAAGGTTGCTGCTATTAAACCTTGTAATCAAAAAAGGGGATAGTTTCTGGGCAGCCATTCACGGTCGGGCCGTAGATCCTGGAAATGCAGCAGAGCAGCTGGCGCGGCCCCCAGGCCCCCAGCCCCGGGCCCGCCTGTCCGCCGACAGCCCCTCCTCCGGCCTGAGTCACCGCGCCGCCGCTGAGTCCCGACGCCGAGTGGCCGCACAGAGGGCGGCCAGGACGCGCGGCCGCCAGGGCACCCACTGGGAGTCAACCTTGTCTCCTCCCCGCTCGCGCCCGCCACCGCCGCGCGTGCCTCCCCGGTATCCCGGGACTAGGGCGGCCGCGGTGCCCGAACCCGTGCGCCCCAGCTCGACGCGCGCCCTCCCTCCATGGCGTTTATCCGGAAGAAGCGACGGGAGCAACAGCAGCAGCTCTATTCCAAGGAGAGGTAGGCGCCAGGCGGGCGGGAGGCGGGGGCACGGAGCGCGGGGCTCGAGCCGCGGCGGCGGGCCTGGTCGGACCCCGACGGGGGTCGGCGCTGGGGACCTAATGGACTGGGGCCCCGAGCTTGTTCGCAGGTCGGGGTCAGAGGTTGAGGTCAAGGGGCTGGGGTCAGAGGCCGTGAGTTTGGTGGGGAGCCGGGCGGGCCTCACGCCGAAGCCGAGCGCCGGGAGAAGCCGACCCTCAGCGCTGCCACCCCGCGGCGCAGCCTGGTCCACCCGGAAGAGGCCGCGCCGAGCCGGGGCCGACCCTCCCGCGGCGTCCGTGCTGGATCGCGGCCGCAGCCCACCGCCCACCGGGAGGGCATCGCCCGGGCCCCAGGGTGCCGCGTTTCTGGGCGCTGCGGCGTAGTTCCACCTCTGCGGGCCGTAGACTGGCGACTACCGCTGCCTGCCGTGGACGTTGCTGTCCCACGTCGCCTTTCTCTTTCTGTTCACTTTTCCAAACATAAAGCGGACGCACAACTAGCTCCCTCTCAGCGTGGGCTTGGGGAGCGCGCGGGAAAGGCGAAAGGCAGGGTCCCTATCTCGCGGCGGCCTGTTTGCGGGCGGGCTGTGCACTTGAAAGCGCTGCGCTGCAGCAGGCCATGTCTGGGCGTCCTGGTGAGCCCCACTCGGCCTACGGAGCCCTCTGCGGCTCTGCAGTGCAGCCTCGCAGGCCGGCCTCGGCCTCGGTAAATCTATTTACTCTGTAAATCGGCATATGTCTCGTGACACACATGTCTTTGCAGAGCTCCCAGGTCTGTGGCCCTATGGGCCACAAGGACGGGGAGTTAATGCTTTCACAGACAATAAGGTGGGAGCAGAAGGGGCAGTCTCCTCCCGTGCCATTCATCTACTTCTGAAAACATGCTGAAGGGTAAGCTGTATGTTCCGACTAGAAGCAACTTGCGTTGTGAGCTACAGTTTTCTCAGTATTTCTGTCAGATCACGTTGTTTTCTTATCAACAGCCAGCCACAAAACCTGTTGTGTGTGTGTAAATATACGTTAAGGTATGCGTCATTTTGCCTCATCTGCCCTTCCATCCAGACTCTCTGCTTCTCTCATCTGTAACGTAGTCGGGTGTTTCATTTCCCATATTCTGAGGAAGAGATGAACCCCACAGAAAACACCTCTCAAATGTGTTTTCCATGACTATGTTTGGTAGTGTGCTGAGGCGTTAGCACCAGCAAGGTTTGTTTGTGAAATAATAACTGGGTCATGATCAAAGTCATAACATCCTGCAGGTCTTCTGAGAGCTTTTATGAGGCCTACTTCACATGGGACAAGTTTGAGTAGAATGTCTTTGTTCAGTGCCAAGAGCATTAATACTTGGAGTTCTGTGTTAAACAGATGAATGTGATACCTAAAATGCTATTGTTTGTATGATTAAAAAGTCCTTGGTTGGGGAGCTCTGGTGGCCTAGTGGCAAGGAGCTGCAACTACAATCCCAGAGGCGAACGGTTCAAATCCACCAGATGCTCTGCCGGGGAAGGAGGGACAATCTCCTCCTGTACCAGTCAGATCTGATTTGACGGTACACGCACACAAAAATAATAAAATTAAAAAAGAAGTTTAAAAAAATAATAAAAATAAATAAAAACAGTCCTTGGTAATAGTTCTGTGGGAAACACATTTTCTTTAGATCTGCCAATTATTTTGATTGCAATGACATATCCAGCTTTGTGTGTATAAAGTCATGAGGGAGGATGGCTGGTCACTTTGTGAAGGGAGGTGATTCAACCTGCATGCCTTTTTTAAAATTTGTCAGGAGGTGTCAGCTGTTACTGAGCATCAAAAAAGATTGGGTCACATGTTTTATATATATTTGACTCCTGCTTGCTGACTGTTTTGTTTTTCAAAAGCTCTGCCTCATGGCCCTGGAATCTTGGACTGGCAGGTGTGCTTTAAGTAGAATCTGTGTCACGAAATACTGGCTTCAGTGACAGAAGCCTGCCTCACCCTCAGGTATGGGCCAGAACCGTTCCCTTACTCCCTCCCTTGCAGGGTCAGTTCCCACTCAGCAGCCCCTATCAGGCTTCTAAGTCTGTAAATAAAAAAGGAAGGACAATGCAGTCTGTTTTTTTCTTCTAACTCTACATGGAAACTGCCAGAAACAGACTGCGTTTGTGATTTCCAGCACATCACCATGGACCATGCATTCACAGTGGTTTGTCCTTATAAATCTTAGGATTCATTCTAAAAGACAAGAATAATTCAAAACGTCCTTTTTGTTACATATCATCAAGTCAGAACTGGCCCAAAGCGGACTCTGTCGCAGATTTTCCAGGACTGTAAATCACAAGGGGAGGAGATTGTCTATCTTTCTCACCACTGTGTCACTGTTGCTGTTATGTCCCATTGAGTCATTATAGCTGACCCTCTGGGGAGTTCTCAGAGGCAGTTAATCTCATGGGAGGAGGTTGCTCATGAGCTCCACAGTGTCTTGGGGATTGCACCCCAGCTTCTTGCCACTAGGTCACCAGAGCTCCCTAAAACAGCATTGAGCCCAAATACCATTCTTGCATCAGTTCCTACCAGGCTTAACCATTTGTTAAGCTACACACAGATTAGCAAAATAATGGGTAATGTCATGGTCTGAAGAATGTCCAGTAGAAGTGTTATGTTTTGGGAAACTTAAAAAAGACCAGTTGTGTGGGTAATCCATGAAAGGCTCTTCAAAGTTGTGAGTTCACAGGGCTCTTTGATGCTGATAGGACAAGGTTCAGATCTGTTGTTCATAGGATCACTCTATGCAATGCGCTGTACTTGACTCAGAAGCACCTAACAATAACATAAATAACTGAATAATGTCCCAATAAAAGGAGAGGCCTGAAGTTAGCATTTATTTTTCTTAGTATTAACATGTTGCATCTGAATTTAAAGTAGTGTTTAAGCAAAAGTAGAAACAGACTGGTTAGAAGAGTATTGTATCGATGGCAGAGACCAAAGTGGTGGCAAAGGAGCTGGAGGATTTGGCATGGATTCTGGATAGGTGTGGGAAGTAGAATTGATAGCTCATGGTCTGTTGCTTGCAGGTAAGAAATGACAGATGAAGAAGCAGGACTGTCTTCCCAGGTTGAGTTAGCAGAAAAAATATAGATGCTCCAATGAATTTGAATTGTACATAATTATATATCTATAGTCTAGTGTAAATACTCGGGATATAATTACATTAAGAAACTGCAACTGAAACTCAAACTTAGCTGCATGCCCTGTATTCATTTGCTCCACACAGCAATTCTACTTCTAGCTTTCTGATTTTTTCTTTGTTTTCTTTACAGTGAAGCTATTTATGTGTGAGGTTTATAAAGAAATGCTTTGATAATTACAAGATTAAAGAAGAAAGGGATTAGTCTCTTTGGTAATTAGATTCTTGTATGCCTGGTATCCTGGTGCCACGTGACAGGTTTCTCTCTATCTGTGATCTGTTTTGTAGTTTTTGCGTTGATGTTTTGCTGTGTCAGTCTTGAAAAAGTGTTGGGCAATTTGCTATGTAGATAAGGTGCATACAATCTGTTCAGGAATTGGTCAGTGGCTGTTTAAATTAGGTGGCTTTGGCCTACCTTTGACAATGAGTAAGGACACTGAGGACCACTCATGCCTTTGGATTTTGGTGTTGGCGAAGAATAATGACTATACCGTAGACTGCCAAAAGAACAACTAAATCTGTCTTGCAAGAAATGCAGCCTGAGTGCTCATTAGAAGTGAGGGTGTTGACACTTCTCCTCATATACTTTGGGCCTATTATCAGGGGGTAGTCATTGGGAGGAGGTCATCATGCTTAGAAAAGTAGAGGTCAGCAAAAGAAAAGAAGACCTCTGAGAGATTGAGCGACACAGTGTCTGCAACAGTGGCCTTATGCAAGACTGAGACTGTGATGTGGCACAGACTGGGCAAGGTTTCAGTCTATTAATAAGTTTTTCTGTCACTCTGCAGAGGTCATTGGCTGTGTGGATCACAACAAACTATGGCTAACTCTGTGAAGAATGGGAATCCCAGAATACTTGATTGGGCATATGCGAAATCTATACTTAGACCAGAAGGCAGTTTTTAGAACAGAGCAAGGAACCACTGCATGGTTCAGTATTGGGAAGGGTGTACACCAGGAATGTGTCCTATCTCCATACCTTTTCAGTCTGTATGTGGAACAGATTATCTCTGGGAGTCTGGGCTCTATGAGGAGAAATGTGGCATCAGGATTGGAAGAAGATTTATCAACAATCTGAGTTATGCAGATGACACAACCCTGCTTGTTGAAACTCAGGAGGACCTGAAACACTGCAGAAAGTTAAGGGCTGCAGCCTTCAATATGGATTGAAGCTCAACGTCAAGAAAACAAAGATTCTCGCCACTGAGCTGATTGGCAGCATTATGATGGATGGTGATTGTTAACAGCTTTAGTTTTCTTGGCTCCACAATCAACACTCTTGGTACCAGAAGCCAGGAAATTAAAAGATGAATTGCATTGGGAAAGTCTGATGTCAGACCTCTACAGAGTACTGGAGAACAACGATGTCAGTCTGGAGACTAAGGTATGCCTCATGTAGGCCTTGATCTTTGCAATTACTTGCCGTACGTCACAGAGCTAGACAATGACTCGGGATGAGAGAAGGAGAATTGATACCTTTGAGCTCTGGTGCTGGAGAAGAGTATTGCATAGACTGCTAGGAGAACAAACACATTTGCCCTACAGAGGGTGAGACCAGGCTGCTGCTTTAAGGCAGGGATTCTGAAGCTACATCTGATCTACTCTGGACACGTTCTGAGGCGGGAGCAGCCCTTGGAGAGGGATGTCATTCTCGGGAGGGTAGAGGGACAGTGTAAGAGAGGAAGACCCTCGATGAGATGGATTGATTCAGTGACTGGGATATTGGGGATAGGTGTGTCAGAGACAGTAAGATTGGCACAGGATAGAACAGGGTTTAGGGCTGTTTTATATAGGGTTGCTATGAGTTGCAGCACATA